TGTGAGAGAGGGTCTTCTGAAGCCCAAAGGAGAAAGGCCAAGGTTTCCCGCTGTGCCCTTAAGGACCTCTGGGGACCGTGAATCGGAGACCCAGCTGGGACGGGGACCTACAGGAATAGGCTCCGCCAGCCCAGAGGCCGGATTTTAATCTCTCAAAGCAGCGACCCTTTTCTAACTAGCTCTGCCTGCTCCTTCTATGCTTGAAGTGTGAGAGAGAAATCCTAAGAAAGCCCATAACGACTTGGAAAGACCGTGACAAGGCTGCGCTTGGACTCCTTAGATTAACGGATGGATTAAAACCAGAAAAAAAAACCCACCCAAAAAGTGTTTCGCTGACGTGGGTTGTCGCTATCAAATTTAATCGGCTGTTCATAAGAAAGCCTTTCTGGCCGTCTCGGACTCTTTTTCGCTATCCCTGTAACAAAAACGGCACTTGGCAGGAGATCGCCGAGAGATGCTTTTAACAAACACCTTTGAGCTGACCCGGGGGAGGGGCTGGGCACGAATTTGTTAAATTTATTAGAGAGTATGTGGCAGCTGATTTATCGCGATTTAAAAGCTGAGGTCAGGTAGTTATGCTCCTTCAATCTGTTGAAGTATCTGGCGGGGGGGGGGAAGGGTTGGTAAGGTAACTCGGGCTATATTGCACAATTCTGCTGGAGTGGAGCAGTTTTGGGGGAAAAAAAAAATAAAAATCGGGTACTTTGAGAGGCTGTAACTGTCTGAGACAGCCATTGCGGAAGACTTCTTAACAGGGGCATAGACACAAATTGCCTTAAAACGAGTTCTTTCTCTCATTCCCCCCCCCCTCCCCCATTGTCCCAAATGAAGGACTCTCATGAGAGTGTGGGTTGGGGGTAGGTCTGAAAACGTCAAATGATTGGCACCAATTGTAAGATGACTTTCTAACCACGTCAGTTTTTTATCTTGTGAGAAGTAAACTTTCTCATGTCTGTTTTTCTGCGAGCTAACTTCGCCACTTGCTGCAATTTAAACTCTTTGGAGAGAGTTTTTGCTGCCGCAGTCGTCTTTCTTCTCATCGGTCGCTTTCTATTTATACTTTTTGGGAGCTGTGCTTCAGTGCCAGCTGATGGACTTTTGTGAAGTTTCGTTCTTGAGCAGTTTAACTTTAACGTCACAGCTAGATGAAGGTATTTTGTTGTTCTTTCTCTGTTAAATGTTGAATGCTGGCAGTGGTGGTTGTGGTATATTTTGTGAAATCAGTGTGTCGATTTAAACTGTTTAAGAGTCAAGTCTTTACTGTGATTGTGCAGGTCTTTTTGTGTATCTGTCTACATAAAATACATAGCCAGTGTGGACTGTTGGAAGTAAAGCGTGTGTCAGGTCTGAAATGTGTATGTAAAGAGTGTTTCCAGAAGAGTACAGACCTACGGCTACTCAGTTTGTTACTGGGAATGTGTCTTTAACTCTTTTGCCTCATGCATCACGGTTGCTTTCGCTGAGCGTAGTAACTGCACTGAACATGGCTGTGAGAGGTTTCAGTAGGGAGATTCACGCTGCTTCTGCAGATTGGGGTCGGTCTGTTGTTTGGGGGGGGTGATGTATTTGAAAATACGTCGTTGCGAGGCTAAGCTTTAGGTTTTGTTTCAAATTTGGGTTTTTCGTCTTCAAAGTACCTCTAGTCTTTAGTTTCTATATTAGTCAAACTTCTGGGCAAACATGTAGGTATATTCCTTAGGGGATTGTAGTTCAATGCTTAGATCACGGGGTTTTCTTGTTTATGTTAGCAAAGGAGATAGATCCCTTCAGTAGTTTGATTGCTTGGAATGGAAGTGGAACAGCCAGCAGAGATCGTGCCAAGCAAGAGCACCAAAACCTCGACAGCAGCCCCTCGGAAAGGCAGAGAGCCCTTAGAGAAGTCCACCAGTGACATGGAAGTGGAAAACGAAGGTGACAGACAGCTTGGCGAAGTACCTCCAGAAGGTAGGTCTGAACGTTGTGGTTCTGATGATGTGTAAACTTGCTGGTACTGCCTGCTCAGCAGCAACCTTCAGCTGAGTTTACCAGCTGTTCAGACAGGGTTTGTTCTTCTCCCTTCTAGAAAGGAATATGGAAAGGCGTGACCCCTGGCAAGTTTAAACTGCTTTTAAAATGGTGAACAGGGCTTGCGAAGAGTTAAAGTGTTTGGACCAGTGACTTAGTGTACAAGTGCAAAAGCAATTTGTACACTTTCTCCTAACGCAGCCTGCTTCGTATTCTTGATCTGTAACGTTGTACTGAAGGTTGTGGTACAACAGCAGGATTTTTCAAATTTATATGCAGCCAATGGTATGGGATTTCTTGGAATGGAATAAATGTTAAGTTTATTTACTTAACTCTTAAAATGATTTGACTTTCTTTTTCCTGAAGCAGTGTATTTTCTTGTTGAGTTTTTGCTGAAAACGTCTGGAAAAACAGCAGTGTGTGTCTCTTTGGGTAGCCAGATATGTAATTATTGAAGCAAGGTATTTGACAAATAGATGGATACCTTGAAATTGGTGGCAAAAATTACTGTCTATCTGAAGAAAAAATTGCTAGTTGCTGTTGAAAAGCTGCTTTGCTTACAACTAGCTGATATCCAGGGGGCCAGTTTGTTTTCGTAACAAACTTCCTGTCTTTGCAGAGTAGTTGTGCTGTCATTACAGCTTTCAGAGCATTGTGCAGCGATCCCCAAATCTTGCAGAGTGACTTGTGAGCACGCTTGAAATGTGGCTTTGCACTTATTAATGAGAAAGACTTTGCCTGTTTCAGATTTGTAGGCTTATTGTGACGGTCGTAGCTATTGTAATTGCAGAGTGCCTATTAAAGTGTGTTAGAATAAGAATTACATAATGAAAGAAAAAGCCCAGTAGTGAATCGATGGGACATCTTAAGTATCTCTTTTTAAAGATTCAGTTCATGGAAAGAAGAATTTTAATTCCACTTAGCTCACTTTAACAATTCCAGGCAAAAGTGTGGTTTTGGCTCATATAGAAATGATGTTTGCTTTTCCAGTTGAACATTTTAAAAGGTGTCTCGTCATTGAGAGCTTATAGTCTTTTTTTTTTTTCCTTTCTGTTTATTTTGGATGGTTTTTAGCAGTCTCAGATGAGGTGCTTGATAATCGAAGTTTAGAAGAGATTTTGAGTAGCATCCCTCCTCCCCCGCCTCCAGCAATGACCAACGAAGCTGGTGCTCCTCGTCTCATGATAACCCATATTGTAAACCAGAACTTCAAATCCTATGCAGGGGAGCAAATTTTGGGACCTTTTCATAAGGTATCTTTCTTTTACCTTAAGCATTTTTTTTAACTGAAGGTAAGGCTTTGCTGTGTGTTAGTATTCCTTCCTGTATTTTCATGTAAGCTTACCTCAAAATAACTGAAAAATATCTAAGTTTTAGAATTACTTACATAGTGATATTCTAAATTTTCACTATTGGACAGTAGAGAAAGCAATTAAATGCACCTTTCCGATACTGTGCAATTTTAATTTGTCAGTAATCCTTAAAAAAGCACACTTTTCTCTTTATTTCGTTTACTGGAGAACTTTCAGGGGTGTGTTTGAAGAAGGAGAATATTTTTTAGTGCCCACAAGAGACTTACGTGGCTAATCATGAAACTTTCCTTGCGAACATGCTTGCTAAATGCAGTATTGCTTTGAGTTAACAAGTTAAAATTCAGAAAGCTGAGGTGTGGGGGTTTTTATTAAATAAGTTGTACTGCTTTACCTTTGGCAGTAAAAACGAAGCTATCGAATAGTCTGCAGTTTCATGCACTAGGAATAATTGTGTTTTAAACTCTTCACAAATTAAATGGGTGATGCACACTGGTCAGGATTTCTTTCCCTTTGAATATCTTTTTTTTTTTTTTTCCTTCTATTATGCAGCGTTTTTCATGTATTATTGGGCCAAATGGCAGTGGAAAGTCCAATGTCATTGATTCAATGCTTTTTGTGTTTGGGTATCGAGCACAAAAAATCAGATCCAAAAAACTCTCTGTGCTGATCCATAATTCTGACGAACATACAGACATCCAGAGTTGTTCTGTGGAAGTCCACTTCCAAAAGATCATTGACAAGGTATGTATGCTTCTGTTCAGAACAGTGGAGACTTCTTTTTTTTTTTCTTTAAGGGTTTGAAAACTTTTAATATTTGGTTCTTTTAGTTTGAGCTGGGGAAAACTTCGTAGCATGATTAGTTTATGTTCGGGATGCAAAACATCAATTTGAAGTTAATTGGCTTCAAAAATTCCTCTATTGAGTAGTGCAGTTCTTAAAATATTAGTAGGGATTCTTTTTTTATTTTCTGCAAGACTAATATCTGGTACATGTCCATTTTGAAACTGTTTAGAAATATGTAATAATCATTTTAAGAATAAGTAACTTTAGAGTTATGTCGTTTACCTCAAGTAAATAAAACTTATTTCAGAAATTAGTAGGACTCCTAAAAATTTATAAGTGTATGTTTGGACATGTTATATATTCTTAAATTTATAGTATAAGGATATACATTAAAAATAAAACCTATTTAAGCAAAACTTTTCAAACCAATCAGAAACTATTTTAGGTTATCTAGATTTAGAAACATATACAATGAATCTGAAACTCTCTTATTTACACTTGTGTACTGCAAGCATGCCTGCAATTTTAAAACAGATTTTTCATCAAAAATTCTGAACCTCACATCCTACCACTAAATTTTTTTGAACCTGGATATTTGGTTTGAATGAAATAGAAAGTGTTGGCATATTAAAAAAAAAAAAAGTATTTATTTTGCTTGCCACTTCATGTATTGGTAAAAACTTTTGGGCATTTAAATTAAATTTTTGTGCACACCTTCTAGCTGAAGTATCAACTGTAGAGTTTGGGGTCAGTCAAAATGGTGGGGAATGTACACTGAAATTGCAAAACCTGGGTTAATAAAGTGGCAATATTTACAGCCTTCGAAGGAACTGGTTTAAAAGACAGATACATTTTTTCTTTGACTTGATACACATACACACATATCTTTTCCTTGTATTTATAATAACCAGATTAAAAAATTAAATGTATTCTTTTTTTTTTACTTGACTTTGTATTAACATCTAGGAGCAACTTTAGGATCTAAAAAACTTCTGCATGTGCTAGATACCAATTTGATGATGCTCTTGGGGGTTAATCTGGGAAAATGGTAGGCCAGTTTAAGTCCTTACCAGCAGTGTGCATAAATTTTAACTTTTTAAAGTATAGTACCAGCTTTATTTTTGTTGCTGCTTTGTAGGTAAGTCTGAGAGATCTTTTTGAAGCTGATGATGTCATATTTGTCACATCTTTAATGCTTTGCTTTTTTATCTTCTACAGTTTCTCTTTAGAACTAGTCAGCTAAAAGTAACCCCTTTTCCTAGCACTATAAAAGAGGGGTTTAAAATGCAAACAGTGTTGAAGTTGTTCAAGACTTCCTGATCTAAAACTTAAAGGGTGGAATAGCACAGCCACTTTAAATTTGAAGTAGGCCTTTTCCTTTGTGATATGAAGCAGTGTTAAAAAGAATAAATTAAGTATTTTCAAAGCAATAGCTTTTATTAGAGGTGGGAAAGGCACAATGTGAAGGCCATTCAGTTTAAATGATTTGGGCTATTTTTTGTGCAGCTCTTAGGAGGGTCTTTTTTGTGTGTTTTCTCTCCTTTTTTTTTTTTTTTTTTGAGATACACAGCTTTAAGACAGTCCCCCCTTCTAGTAGAGCTCAGGGTGCAGTTGACTTAAAACCTAAACATGATAAAACTTCTGTGCTTAATTGTGAAATATGAGGTAAACCTGTGATACAGTAATTGTTTTTCTGGCTTTGTTTTTCCTCAAAACAGGAAGGAGATGATTACGAAGTCATTCCTAACAGCAATTTTTGTGTGTCTAGAACTGCCTATAGAGATAATTCTTCCGTTTACCACATCAATGGAAAGAAAAAGACATTCAAAGATGTTGGTATTCTTCTTCGACACCATGGAATTGATCTGGACCATAACAGGTTCTTAATTTTACAGGTTGGTGTACAAATAAAAACAATTTTAAGGAAAGCTGTATTTCCAGTTATAGCTGTGAAAAATACTGTCTAGGTTTTAAGTCTCGTGTTTGAGGCCTTAAAGTACTCTAGCAGCACATCATGGTTTGCATGCTCTAGTAAAGATGCGAATCATTATTTGCTGCTTTAGAAATTTAAGGAAGAGAAGCAGTTGAAGATACTAATATAAATTTTTCTGTTGACACATTTGTGTTCCTGACATGTGGATGAATAGAAGAGTTGTCATACTTGTTCCGCCCTAGCAGCACGTAAATATTGGTGTAGTAAAATAAACCTTAAACCCCAATATTATTGTGCTGCTTCAGCGTGGCAGAGATTCAGCAACTTGTTTATGCTTTAGATAAAAGTGCATCAGTATGAACTTAAATTTGAGTGATTCTGCTGTTAAGTGAACTTATCTACACTCTTGTGTGTATAGACATGGTTTTACTGGAGAAGTGTGTGTGTAAAAACTGTGCATAAAAATTGGGTGCAAGAAAAAAACACATGGAGTGTGCTTTTTGTTTACACTTGTTAAACAACTGTGGAGGACTCAAAGAATGGCAGGTTTATAGCCAATTCAAGCTACGTTTTTAGAAGCTACAGTTTACCACCCATACTGTAAAAATACTTGTAGAATTTGTCAATATAATGAAATTTATATTCATGTTTGACCTTAAAATTGTAAGGTTTGCTGGCATCTGTTTGCTGCTGAAAAGACAGGCTGAAGAGAACCGCACTAATTTTTTCTGTTTTTTAAATAATAATGGAGAATTTTGCTATGTGCCATACAATTACTTAAAATATAAATTGAGTTAAAGACCTGATGGAAGTATTTAAACATTAATTCAATTGAGAAACTGTATCTGCAATTACCTGTAATTATTTCACTACTATTACTAACAGGTCCCGAATCTACTCTATAGGATCATGGCCTAGAAAATTAGTGAACAGTGGGAGCCTCCCAAGGCCTGAAATTTTTCAATAGAGTTTATTTTAGGCCTGTTTCTGTCAAAAGGAGCTTCCAGTTCCCCTCAAAAAAAAAAAAAAAATTCTAGATAGGTCGTTGTGCTTGCTTCACTTCCTCAAGCCTTTTTGTGCAGTCCTTTTTACAGTTACACCCACAAAAAGAGGATATATCTGTTTTGAACTCTCTATGCCAATTAATTATTCCCTCCAACACTTTATTCCTGTATTTTGTGTTTCAACATGGAGTGAGAAGTACCTCCAACAAAACAGCTGCAGTAGATACTCTCTTTTTCTATACAGTTGTTCTGAAGTATCATTTTAGCAAAATCTGTAAAAGTGAGAGAATGCAGAGTCAAAGATTAAGCCAGGTAGAAATTATGGTGCAGAGACAGCTAAAGCTTAGTGTCAGAGAGCACGCCCTTCTGTCACTGGGCAGAGGGGAAGAGAACATTTGGGAGGGAGTTTTGCTAAGCTTTTTTTATTTATTTTATTCCCCCCCCTCCAATGTGATTTGTTTTCTTCTCCTATTAATTGTTTCCCAGGAAGTCATCAATGAGGAGAACCTACCTCTTGCTAAAAGCTTGAGTTCCATGCTCTCCCCCTATCCAATGGAAAATTAGGGGGAGGTATAGCCAATGTTAAGGCATAAAGCAATGGTTCCCACCGTTATTTTTTTTCTTTCATTCCACTAGACTCTTTGTGGGTAATGTATGACAATGAACGGCAGAGCCTTCAGTCTTTCTGACTGAGGCGAGGTTCTTCCTCTGCACAGAAGGTTTTGCGTCTTTTAAAAGTGAAATCTCCTGATTTGGTGATTCAGAGTCAAGTACTACCCAGCTAGGAAGGGCAGAAATCTTTTCCATGTAATGACAGCAGAACTTCAAAACCCAAATACTAAAAGCTGCAGTTAGAATTAAATGAGACCGTGTCAGAAGGCTGAGGCTGTGAACTACTATCACGAGGACTGCCCCCTTTTTCCCTGATGTTTTTTAAATTAAGTTGTTTAAAATTGGAGGGATAAGGAACACATTTATTTAGGTTTTCTCATGTAAAATAGGCTGCTCTAAGTTTAATGTGATAGCGAGTATTTTCTCATTTTAAAAAAGTTAGAAATTCCTTTGATTTTGACTGTGTGAATAGGGTGTAATTAAAATATTTCACTTGTACTATAGATTTTGGAGAAAAAAAAGTTAATTAAGGATTACCAAATACTGGTTTTGGTGTGTGACAGAATATTCACGAGTTAGTACTAAAGAAGAAGTTGTAAGAGAACGTGTCCTCCATATAGTGACAAAACCTTCGGATACTGGATTATATCTTGCTAGTATATTTAGCATTACTCAATGGAAAATATTTGCTTTTTAGAAGACTGCTTTGTGGTTTTGGTTTCTTCTCCCCGTTTCACCCCCTATTTACAGTCTCTTTTTCTGACATAGCAGGTTTTGGTGCCGTTTAGGATAAAATTTGAAAGCTTAGGCCAGACTGAATTTTTTTAAGAGTTGAGTGGGGCATGATACAGGTGGTACTGCTGATGCTGTACTGAAAATATTACAATCAAATACTGATAACTTCTGTGAGTAACATTACAGAAAACACCTGTGGAAAACCAGAATATGTAAGACTCATCATGTAGGTCTAAAGTATTACAAATTGTGTGCCTGAACCAGCTAATTGAAAAAATCTTGTTTAAAAAAAGGTTCTAGTTACAATGGGACATTGCCAACATTTAACAGGAGGAGTTTGTCACTTTTGTGATCCTGAAGTTCTAACACTACATATTTCATGTTTTTAATAAATGGCTATATGCTTTTAGTGCTTCAGGAACAGACAACTGCTCAGTGCATTTTTAATGAGCTTGCCACGGCCTGATACTGCAACAGGAAAAAATGCATCTTGTCACTTAAAAAAAAAGTATGCTAAGCACTGTGGTAAAATCTATTTTTCTGTCTTCCACACCTAACGCCACGGCTTCAGGAACTTGTATAGCTGTAACGAGCAACAAATAAAATGACGTAGCTTTTCTCAAAAGGCTTAACTTGGAACCTCAGGGTATGTATGCAGAAACCTTGTGTGGGTTCTGTGCTGTGACCGGGCTGGGCGGAACTCAGAAGGTGGTAAGTACGTTTGCTGGTGCTCAGCAGCGACTCCTGCACAGGTTGAGGCCAGGAAAAAAAAAAATCTCAGCCTCTCTATGCGGGCTGGTTTGGCGCTAAGGGCTTACTAAATGAGTGGGGAGCACTTGGAGGAGTGTCAGTTTTGGACAGGGCAGGGTAGGCATGTCTGGAGACAGCCACCATGAGCGCCTGCTGAAACTGGCTTTTGCGGCCTTTCGAGGTAAGGGACGTGCAGTCAATCCAAACCTTTGAAAAGGGGAGTGGTGTCCACGGGGCCACTCCATTTCAGCGCCTCTGCCAATGAATGTTGTCGAAATGGTAATAAATGGCACGAGACTTGGAATTAATTTTGCACTAAGACAGTGTCGTGGGAGCAGACTTGTATCAGTTGCTTTCAATTTGCTTTAGAAGCTACTTTCTTTTAAACAAATTGAACCTGCTCCAAGTAAATTTTGTACTAATTGCGGTAGTATTGCACTTAAACGTGTTTGATAGACTTAATTGAAGTATTCTCATGTAATCTTAGGTGAGTTTGAACAACTACAGTGATTTTTTTTTTAACGTATGTATTTCTGTAACTGATTGGAACAGCATTTTGTAATGTACTGAGTCTTATCCTATGGCAAGGTTATGTTGCCAAAAAGGAAGTTTAGTCAAGTTTTTCACCTGCTGCTTTGTGGAAATAATGTAGGAGTCGCTCTTTCAGTGTATTGGAGAGGAAATGAGGGAGAGCAGATTTTCTTCTCACTTTGAGATAAGCCAGCAGTTCCCAATTGTTGAGGTCTGCTTTCCTAATGAGGCACACCAACACTTGAGCTAAAGCACCGAGCGGAGCGCGGGCTGAAAGGCTCTACTGGGATTACACATGGAGATCTCTGCTGCCAGCATTGGCGGTAGAGAGGTTTGTTCCAGAAAGGTCAAGGACAGCTGAGCTGAAGCGGTAGGAAGAATTAAAGCAAGTGTGATAATACAATGAAGTAAAACCAAATTCTTTGAATAAAATATTATGTAAAAACAGAAGCCTCGCACTGATTCATGGAGCACAGCATCAGCTTTGCTGGCTGTTTAATTATTATGCTTTATGCTGAAGTGAATACAGAGCAGCATAAAATAAGGTACTATGTCTACGTGCAGTTTCAAAATGAATTCTTGCATCATCAGAACGCTTATGTTGGCAATATCATATGACTTTTATTTTGCAAATTGGAACATAACATTGTAACCAATGTTTATTAAGCTTTCTTCAGAAAAACAGGCAAGTACGGCAAGGGGAGAAAAGCACTTTTCTAGGGGCAGTGTGTAATTGAGAGCGATCAATGGGTACGTTCTAATTAACCTCTACAACGTTTGACTTAATAGTTTGAGTTGGACAGTAACCGACTTCGATTCCACAGTGACTCGACTTGTGCTCGGTTTGTATTCTGGTGTTAAATACAAGAATGTCCTTAAGAAAGCTTCTAAATTTAGACAGATGTGCAAACAGCTTGACAAAGGCTACTTTTAAATTATTTCCAGAATGCAGAATAGTAGTTTTGTGCAAACAACTGAATGTTGTATAACAGGCTAATTCAAAGTTTTTCCTCATCTTTGGACAGTAGTGGCCTTGTAGATTTGTGTATGTGCATTTATTACTTACTTGACTCTCTTGATTTCCCACCTACTTCTCTTGGAAGGCAGAGCATGAAGTCGAGTATTCGATACTTTCTCCCCTCCTGTACGTTGGCCATCTGGTAAAATGGAAGGGTAGAAATGAGATAGGACTGCAAGCGTTAAGTAATAGCAGCAATAACATGGAATTGGAAGGAAAACCAAAACGAAACCTGTTTGTTGTGGCTTACAACAAGAGCCGTATTACATTCATGTTTCCAGAGAAGGAGGAGGAGGTTACAGGAATATTGAT